GAACTCGTTATCGACCGTCAGCATATCACTCTCTCGAACGACTGAGCTCACAGGCGATGACGGCGAGCCACTCCGCTTTGTCGATGGCAGGCCTTTGGTGTTTAGATCAAGAGTTTTTAGCCGCTTTGGCGACGCTGATGGAGCACTCGAGGCGCTGACTTTCTCTCCATTTCGCGGGGTTTCTTCCGCTCGTCGCTTTCTCTTTTGACCAATACCTACCGGCCGCAAGTCTACCGGAATACTGTTAAATACTTCGTGGTAGGAAAGGTCACAACACTCGCCGTCGAAGTACATCACGCGAAACATTTTTGTGGCCGGGAAGTAGCTCGCCACGGCGCCTTGCACAACGTCGACCCCGCACCCTTCTTTCGTAACGGTTCTTTCCACAGGCTTACCAATGAGCTGGTTAATTTCAAATGGGGTACCCTCTTCGTCCTCTTCTTCGTCAGCCATCATTTCCTCTTCTTCTTCTTCTTCTTCTTCTTCTTCCTCTTCTTCCTCCTCTTCCTCCTCTTCCTCTCCCACCTCCTCATTTTCGTCGTCTTCTTCTTCTTCTAGAGTATTTACAGGGATGGCCAAGCTTAACGATTCTTGTACCTCGTCATGGGAGCTGGAGGGCCCTGTAAAGCTGTTGCTGCGCATCAGTCCTGGTGCATTCGCGTTAAGGCTCAGCACTTTCGGTTTTTGCCTACTTTTCCCTGTAGAAGCAGTCGGCATCGGGACGTTAATGCTGCTGTCACTATTGGCTCTCTTCATAGGCGGAGTAGTTGGCTTTGCAGGCTTCAGCTTGAGGGTCTTGCGTGGCTTGGATACTTTGGGTGATCGTTTTGAGCCCGGTGATTCGACGAAGTGAGTCGCGACGTCATCCTCCGTCATCTCTTCACTGTCTCCATCTTCGTAAGAAATATGGTAAAAGTCGGTCACGTCCGAGTGCTTGTCCACTATGCCCTGAAAGGGCTCCGCAAACCCGTTAAAGTACTTTGACACTCGTGTCCCCAACGGGAATCGCTGGGTGTGGTTGATCCTCACCTGCTCAAAACAATAACAGCAACAACAAAGCACATTAACACGTACTAGTTTAATACAGCATCACAGATCAGACTAACACCATACACAGTCACCATCACTCCGTACGAGAAGTGAAGGCGACAGGCAGCCAGCAGAGCCGACAGATAGTTGGCTGCCTCTGCAAGTGTCTTTCTTTTATAACAATTCTGCAACTACCGACCATTTTTCTCTTAGTTTAAGTGACGGGAGGATTCCACTTATCGACACGTGATGTAGGCGTTTGTTTGGGGGCTTTGGACTACAGAGACGTAAGCGCACGTATTGTCGACCTATGGGCGCTCGGTAACAAGCAGTGAAGGGGCTGTGCCGTGCGAGCGTCGCAATCTCGGGGAACCAAGAACAGCGGCCTCTTGTGATAGGCCTGTTGTGATTTTGAAATTTGAGATTTTTCA